CAAAGAAAGGCATCCAGATCATTGAAAGAAGAAAAAAAAAAAAAACATTGGATCAGCAGACAGATTATTCAATGTCCAAATGTTTGCTCCAGTAACACTGTTTAGTTTTCACAATACCACAGTACACTAGGGATGCACCTCTGGAGTATGGTGCTTTGTACAAACATGTGTGACGTCACTTACCGTACTGAGAGCGTGAAGTCTCCTGGATTGCTTTTACTGGGTCTGGCTAAAAAGCTCCCGTCCACTCCACGAGTCAGCAGGAGGTTTTCAGCCTCCACACCTGTGATGTTGGGGTGAAACCACCTGAAAGAGGACAAGTAAAATAACAATTTAGGCTTACTGTTAAGTACATGCATTTCATTTTTACTCATTATATAGTGCATTGTGTGAACTTTTTGACAAAAATCCATACATTGCACAACAACAACATGACATAACTAAGTACCAAGAGGTGTTCAAAATTATGAATTAACTGCTTAAAACTTGATTATTTGCAATTTTCAATCCACTATTCAGAGACAGTATTATCAAAGTTCTTCTAAAAGCGTGTAGTTTCATCTCCACTCACTTATCTGAGCATTTTGAAGTATCACTCAAGTTTATTTTTAATGGTCAACTGGACATGAAAGTTAAATCTGATTAAAACAGCTTAAATGTGTCAATGACTTGCACAATAATGAGGATTTCAAAAGGCCACTGGGGAAGTTATACTCCCATCACCATCCTTGCTGTTAAAGATTTCTTGCCTAGATTTCAATAAAGGATTCCTTTGAGTGTCTTGTCTCTCTCTTATAATATTTCCGGTATTATTGCACAGGATGCTTCCTGACATCGACTCATTTGGAACCAAAGGTATAAAAGAGCCACACTGTCTCTGTCTTTCTTCACTTCCTTTCTATCCAACTCTGTATATTCCAGTAAAGACATTCAGAGGCTGACTGCGCTCTTTCTACAAGTTGCCACCCTGCACTCCCCCGAAAAGACTGCCTGCCTGTTTCACTCATGCGTCCATTGTGGTCATCTCCTGCCTCTGCCTCCCTGTGAATATTATTTTCATCTTTTGCCTCTCGTCTGTACAAGAAGTCTGTGTTCTGTGCACCATCTATGTGAAATATATTTATTCCACTCGCTAACGATGACTTTTTAACGAGTTACATTCATTACCTAAGGAATTTAATTTACTTAAAATGTTGAAACTGCTATGACTTCTGCCTACTCTGCACATATCTACAACGTCAAAGTACTTCATTTCCGTTTTTCTGATGCACTCCTGCTGTTTTCCCGTTTTCTCGTTAAAATGACTCGTTAATTTTTGTATCAATATGGGGTGTCTTATGTTCAGTTATTTGTAAATACAGCTGGTTTGACTTGGACAGCAGCTCAAAGCCTAACAAATCAATCCAGTAAGATGCATCTGTTAACAGCAGCTGTAGCAGAGTTGATTAACTTTAACTTTACCTATTAGTAACTACAGTTTGTGGACAGCTTAGCTTTGTATGTTCTGTACAAATGTTACAGTGCTGTTTACTTAACAAGTTGAGACTGCCTTAAGTTGCCGGTGTAACGCTAAATGAAGCAGCCCTACACCACCTATTTCTGTCTATTTCCAGAAACGTCGGAACTTTCATTGACTGTCTACCGACATACCAAGATCCAAACAGCTGAGTTCACTTAAAGTTAGCAGACTCAGCTAGCATTATCAGCAGACATTGTTTTCCAGACAGCCCCCGCTTACCTCCGAGATGTCATTTTTTTCGTTCCTCACTTCCTCGCTGGCAGTTAGCAGTAGCTTTAATTAGCTGGCTAACGTTTCCCACCGTTAAAGCTTCAGTTACAGTATAAAGTGCTTCATTGGTTCACATCCGGTCAAAACGGGCACCTTAAATGTAGTTAAGCATCGACACCAATTTTTTTTATAGCGCCCGTTACAAAAAAAATGTCTCTAGGCCTCGGCCCCGGAGACTTCACAGCAAGTCGATTATTGGACGTCACCAAACCTGCGACAAAACAGAGGGTGTAATGGATTTTTTCACCCTGGGCGTCCGTTTCTCGTAGTCGCTTTAACCCGCTTAAATAAAAGCTACAGATCTCAGTCCGTCCGGTAAACAGCGTCAGATAAATTAAAGAGCCAGATCACTTTCACTCAGCGCATGCTCGTTAAAAGCTTTTTTTACGATACAGCGGCGAAAGCGGTAAACGACGAAGAACGTCTGCGAAGGCTTCTCGAACAGTTCATTGACTGTCTGTACTCACGGCAAAGCGAAACTTAATCGAAGCTCTAAGTCCTAACGGGAGATAAATTACATTTCATATGTTATTTGTGACGTAATTAGATGCGCTACCATTTTAAAAATGATATTATTAAACTTTCGTAATGTTTTGTTGTGGCGTCTAGGGTTATTAGAAACGCGTAGAAATAAATACAGATAAAATTAGTATAACAATTTATTTTCTATTTGAACATTTACTTGCAATCTTTGAGCTATCCAATATTTGTCATTTGCTCTGTAAGCAGAATCATATAAAATATTTCACATAAAACAGACTAACTTGCAAGTGAAAGTCAAATGGTGATGTAAGTAACTTTATCACTGAAGCATTTTTTCCCCCAAAATAGTACATCCATAAGACTGGTGAAAATTCATCTTGCTTTTAAATCCTTTTATTTATATTTGATCCAACAAATACAAATATTTGGACAAACCCATTAAAACCTTGGCCAACATTCAAGTCATGATGGATGAGATTTCAACCTTTCAAACAGGGTGCTGGTGTAAACTGCTAATATTGGCCAAAGACAAAGGAAAAGAAGAGGAGGAGGGTGTGTTATGAGGCAATGAGAGCGTAGGAAAGACAGAAGTCCGGGGGTTAAAGTTGGCAGTATAAATATATTGTGGTAGATATATTGTTTATGCAGGAGACCAGATGGAAGGAAAGCAAGGCCAGGAGTATTGGAGGTGGATTCAAGCTGCTCTACCATAGTGTAGATAGAAAGAGGAGTGGAGTAGGGGTAAGGAAGAGTATGTGAACAATGTTGTGGAGGTGAAAAGTGTCAGGCAGGAACATGAGTCCGAAGCTGGAAATCGAATGGTCAATGTTGGATGTTGTCAGTGCGCATGCCACACAGGCTGGATGTCAATTAGAAAAGAAAGACAAATTCTGGGGTAAGTTGAGTAAGTTAGATGAAGCAATAATGTCACCGGGGGGGCATTATTGTGATTGGTGCAAAATTCTATGGACATGTAGACAAAGGGAACAGAGGTATTTAGTAGGTAAGGTGTTAGAGAAATGCAGAGGGACAGATAATAGTACATTCTGCAAAAAGGACAGAAATGTCTGTACTAAACATGTACTTTAAGAAGAGGGAAGAACACAGGGTGACATATAAGAGATGAGTAAGGTGCACACAGAGAGACCACATCCTATGCAAAATGTGCAATCTGAAAGATATAGGAGACTGCAAGGTGGTGTCAGAGGAAAATGTCACTAAGCAGCATCAGATGGTTGTCTGTAGGATGCCTTTGTACATTAAGACGAGGAAGCGAGTGAAGGCAGAGGCAAGGAGTAAGTGAAAGAAGTTGAAGAAAGAAGAATGTTGCACAGAGTTCAGGAAGAAGTTGAGGCATGCTCTGGGTGGAAGGAAAGAGTTACCCAATGACTGGGAAAGTACAGCTTTAGTGCTGACGCTGGTGTTTGGTGTATCCTCTGGACACAACCGGGTAAAGCAGACCTGGTGGTGAAATGATGAAGTACAAGAAACTATTGAAATGAAGAGGTTAGTAAAGAAGGAGTGACATATTTAGGAGATGAAGAAAATAGACAGGAAGGCTAGGAATACAGCAACAAGAGAGGTGGCAAAGAAAAAGGATTGTAGTGTGTTGTAAGTGACGCTAGAAATTAAGGAAGGAGAAAAGTACTTTTGCTGATTGGCTAAACAGAGAAATTGAAATGGAAAGTATATGCTGCAGGTTAGAGTGGTTAACCATAGAAATGAAAATGTGCTAACAATAGAAGAGAGTGTGTTAAGATGATGGAAGAAGCACTTTGAGGTGCTGATAATGCCAGAAAATGAGGGAGATAGGAAAACAGATGGAGAAAAGTTAGTGAATCACAAAGAGTGGAGGATTAATAAGGAAGAAGTGAGGGCAGCAATGAAGAGGATGAAGAGTGCAAACCCAGTTTATCCAGATGACACACCTGTGAAGACATGGAGATGTCTAGGAGAGACGTATTCCAGGAGGTTGTGTTAAACAGTCTTTTGGTTCAAAATGTTTAATGTAATGTTGTAGAGTGACAGGAAACCTGAGGAATGGAGAAGAATCAAAATACTTTATTAAGCTGAGGGGAAATTATTTGGTCACTGTCACTCCAAGACAGTAAGAACAGTAACTTACTAAACTGAATTAAATAATACAAAATATTACAAAGTTACAAATCTAACAAAAAAAGTATTAAAGTCTGTCACTCATGCCACACTACAAAAAAGTCTTACAGCGATGCACTGTGTCTTCAAGTAGTATTATCTTCAAGTAGAGTTTTGAACTGCTATGCAACATTAATAAATTACTATTATCATTATTATTGTTGTTATTGCAAAATGCTATCAACTGATATCAATTGTTTTCATAATCGTGTACTATTACTTAGATGACTTGGTGCTGTTGTTTTGGATATTTTGTTATTATATTCTTATTATATATTTGTATAAACATATGTATTTTACTCATTAAATTAGTGCATTTTCATTTATGTTCGTTTGATTTGATTTTTTTATAAATCAATAAATAAAAGTATTTACATTCAGAGTAAAAACATAAATTATAGTAAACTAAAGAACATGACTCTTTAAGTATTCGCGTTGCACATGTCTTTACGGGGTTGACTTTGGCAAGCTTACATAGACTTAAGGGACTTCTTCCAATAACAAATGAGAAAACGAAAAGTTGCCTTTCACTTCCTTTTCAGTGTGTGTCACGTATCCTCGGAGGTTTGGCCCTCGCAGGTACCCGTGCAGTAAGCCCGTACGTGGCAGTCTGAGAGCAGCACAGAGTAGCCGAGCTTGTTGCGGCTCCTCTCCTGCAACAGTCCACTCACACAAACTGGATATACAGTAGCGAGGAAATTTTTTATACCGTCAGATTTATTTTTACGCTTTCCACACAACCACTGAAACATGTTTACCTTGTCGGAGCTAGTTGTCTTGCTGGCCGTCCTGTCTGCCACTGCTTCTGGCTACTTCGTTAGCATAGACGCCCATGCCGAGGAGTGCTTCTACGAGCGGGTCAACTCCGGCACCAAGATGGGCCTCATGTTTGAAGTGGCCGAAGGAGGCTTCCTGGACATCGACGTCGAGGTGAGATGTTTCATTCGGATAGCAAAAGAGTCACCTAACGCGAGGCAGGATGTACTTGTAAATCATAAAATGCAATGCAACACAAGGCCTGTGCTAATGCTAGCTATTAGCCGGTACCGTCAGGTAAAACTAGTTGGATGCAAAGCAGGTGTAAAGGATTTAACATACAGTTGAATGGAAAACGTTATAATTTACATCTTACAGAGTTGCTTTTTTTTAGTTTCCCGCTAAGAACTGCTCCATAATGATGATTAAATTACCCATTATGATATAGGAAGTGCAGCATTAGCATTGTTTCTAAGTTGCTAATTATGTAGCTAATACGATTATTGATTATTGAATAGTTAATGCGCTGTAGACGTTGTAGGATTTGTTTATTTTCGCTAGTTTTAAGCAGAAAATCTAGCTATTTCTGCAGACAGCCTGACTTCGTTTCTGCCATATGTTTCCTAAAGCACATCATGCCCGTCATGTTATTCTCCAGTCATGCAGCAATGTCAGTTATTCAGAAATTCTTCTATCTTCAGATAACAGGACCTGACGGTAAGCAAATTTACAAAGGGGACAGAGAGTCCAGTGGGAAATACTCTGTGGCAGCGCACATGGATGGAACCTACAAGTTCTGCTTCAGCAACAAGATGTCAACCATGACACCCAAGATTGTCATGTTCACCATTGATATCGGAGAGGCTCCCAAAGGCCAGGATATGGAGACAGAAGGTACACAGTGGGTATTTATGTAGTTTAACCGCAACTCTTTTTATTCCCGTTGCTTTTAAAATGATTATTCCTTTTATTCATTTCTTATTTTTTGACTTTATTATGTGGATTCACTGTTTCCCTCTTTGTAGGTGGTGACAGCTGGGATGGTAGGGCACAGCAGGCTTTGACTAAACTACTATTGTGAAATAAATTTTTGAGCTTGTGATGCACTGCAGTCTTCTCTAACCAGAGTTGCTTCTGTAGTAAAAACTAATTAAGCATACATAAGACAGATACGGTGATGTTTGCGAATGATTTGACTTGTTGCACATGTTGAGAACATGTATGAAGTATAAATGTCTCTGATAATGGGACAGCACTGGCAGATACATGCATCACAGGTGTGAAAAGGATGTGCACATCTTGCATGTTTTTGTTGTTGTTTGTTTGGGGGTTTTCTTTTTCAAATGGGGGTAGCAGGGTTCTTTACCACTGTGTTGTGACTCATCACTGACAAGTCACTTTTCTCTTGTTTCAGCCCACCAAAACAAGCTGGAGGAGATGATCAACGAGCTGGCAGTTGCCATGACAGCCGTGAAGCACGAGCAGGAGTACATGGAGGTCCGTGAGAGGATACACAGAGCAAGTAAGAGCCTTTACATTAAGTCCAATAACCATTGTAATCATAAGTGTAAATAAGTCTTTATAATTGTTCTCCTCTTCTTCTCCATCCAGTCAATGACAACACAAACAGCAGAGTGGTCCTGTGGTCATTCTTTGAAGCTCTGGTTCTGGTGGCAATGACACTCGGACAGATTTACTACCTGAAGCGATTTTTCGAAGTGCGGCGAGTGGTGTAGTGCTATTCAAATGATACTCCTCTGTGTCCTCCACTGTACTTTTTTGTTTTGTTTTGTTTTTCCCCTCCAACACCAAGACAGTTATTTACGCTGTGGAAATGAGAGTGGCAGTTTTGAGTAAAGCCTACATGTGATTGGATCTCAGAGGTTTTGTTCTCTTGTTACCTGTTTGGTTTCTTCTTTATAAATATAATTTATGTTTGGAACGAATGGCCAAAAGATTGTGGGATAAATTTCAGTTTATTAGTTTTTCTTTTTAACAGATCTGTTTAATTACAGTTAGTACAGTTGTTTCCTGTGCAAATGACTGTAAGGCTCAGTGTCCGCAGTCAAATGAAAGACTTAAAATTGCACATGAATGGACAGGTATGTGTGACGTCAGAGAGGAATGTTGCCTCTTTTAAGTTTGAAATGGGAACCGTTTTGAAATGATAAAAATGGCACATCTGAAAACATCATTGCATTAGTTTAGTGTCTGAGATAGGAAAAGTTTGATTTCAGGTGTCAAAGCCAAGTCAGACTGGCAGATACTGCCAATGTGTTAATTCTCAAAAACCACAAATTGCACTCCCGATGAACTTGTCTAGCTATCTGAAAAAATTTACATTGCAGCTGGTCTTTAAGGGAAACTATACAGCTTCTAACACTGTCTATTGATTCATAGCGATTTGTGGCACAGGTGGGTGGACATCTTTTCCAGGGGAAATTGTGTGGCTCACTCCCCACATAGTTCAGAAATAGAATTCAACAGGGAAGTCTTTTGTTTGCCATAAACTAACATTTATGATTTTCAAACTCTTGGATTTTAAAAAGTTTGGCCTGGCTGTAAGATCATAAAAAGCAGAGGCAGGGTTGAATTTTAACTGAACTATTTGGGGTGCCTCTCAAAGTATAGAGGAATACTGAAATCCATGTTACATGTTGATTTGGGTGGGCTGGGTAGGTAGGGGTTTAAACACTTGACTGCTGTGTTCTTTAGTTGCTTCTATAGTTATTTTTGTTAGGGTTGGGGATTTTAAATTATATGTATAAAATTTGAACTGTTAATTTTTCCCCCCCTCTTGAGCATTGCTTGTGACAGCTGTTTGGATGAGGTCTTTCTTCCAAGTATATACGTCCAAGGCAGTAGATGTTTCCATTTAGCCACACCATAAATGGTGCATGCACCAGATATGCTCCAGATTTGTATTTCAAAGAATTTATGGTGAGCTCAGGCAGGAAAGTTGCTCTGTACACAATCTCTCCCTTTTGCAACGAAATCAGCTAAATGGATCTTTACAAATGTAGAAGTGTGGTCTGTAAAAAAAAAAAAAAAAATGCCCCAGGTTTCATAATAAAGCCAAAATTCTATACAATTATTTTTGATGTCTTTATAAATGGGTGTGACGTTTCATTATGATTAGAGAGAAGGGACTTGTCAACAGGTGTAATTGCACCATTACATTAAAATATTCCTTGGAACACAGCTGCTCCTATATTTTTTCAAGATTTTAAGAGGTTTATTATCCCAGAACATAAGGACCAGTGAGGCAACACTGTATCAACTTATCTTAAAATGAGTAATACAAATTAGGCAATCCAATCTAAATTTAGAGGGAAAAATGCATATAAATAATTCACATTAATATGCAATGGGTTTTACATGAGAATTATACTTACGCGTAAGCTCTACATCATAACTTGCACCATAACCAGAGCCTCATTATAACAGTATGTCCTAGCCTTCTACATAACTTGATATGCACTTCCTGAGAAATGTAACCACACATCGGGTGGACACATACCACAGGGACTTGGAATGGCATGGAAGGTTGCAGTGTAGGCATTAAAGGAATTTCCTGTTAGGATGTAAATTTCCTGCAAAAGTCAAAAATCAAGCTTTAGAGTGCAAGAGAAGGCTGGTATGAATATAAATATAAACTTTAGGAATTACAGCATATAAGAAATTGTCATGTGTAATGTATTATGTCATCTGCTAGCATTGATGTCTTTAGTGAATAGAAGGCTGCTGCCAATGACCTTCTGTGTGGTACTTGGTCAGTGCATTGCCTTTCTGTCTGCACCTGAGCCATGATGGAAATGCTACAATACAGAGGTCAGCCTGCTTAATTATCCTAGGTAAGTAAAGATAGTTTTTCAGATGACAACGTATTTTATTTGAATCCCCATTTACTTGAAACTGGTGATAACCTCTACAGCAGCTCCTCCAAAGTAGAGGGGCAGGAACTCAGTCCTGTTTATTTTGTCCATGACAATCCACTCAAAGCACTTCATAACTATAGGAGTTATTAGGTAAATGGTCATTCAGGCATGAATGCTGCTGAGGTCTTTGGAACAGGAGTGATGGTAGCAGATTTTAATTGTGTTACCTTAGCTTGAAAGAATAAGATGTCAGTCTGTGGCTCAGAGAGCACCTCAGCGGCCAGAAAACGGGAGAATCTCTGGCAGAAGAAACTAAAGCAATTGTGTCCAAAGAGGAAGCCAGAAAAGCTTTAGTTTTCTAAAGTGTTTCCACATGAACTGTTTAGAGAAAAAAGTACTTTAACAAAAGTACCAATAATATAATATGAAAACACCTGACTGCTGCTAAGCTGCTGCTGCAGATGTTTAAGATTAAACTCAATTTAAATACTTTATTGTCTGTTCAATCTCTACTAATGGATTATACACAGATGTCTGTGGTGGCTGTCCTGTGAGGAACACAACAGCTTTCCCATCAGAAACACTACATATTGATTTTTTTAAAAGTATATTTAAAAGCAGATGAATTAAAAAGATTGAGGACTGTGACATAGTTAACTGTATGCATCTACGGGAGGATAAAAATGAATGAAAAATGTATGTAATGTAAAAATGTACATTTGGTGAACCAGGTGATTTTCCAGAGATGTTAAAAGTGCTGGTGGAGTATGCATCTTGCCTATGTTATTAAACCAGACATGGCGGGAATTACACCCTGTTTTTAAAGCTTTCATTACTCATGTGCTAAACGAGTTACTAATAGTAATTTACATCACACATGTTGGCTGAGTTGGTTTACAAGATAAGCTCACCTGTTGCAAAACGTTTGTATAGCATAACAGAATCCTGCTTGAGATAAAAGGAGAGAGATCGCTTTCACTTTGGTACGTTTTTATTGATATCTGTTTTTAGATTTTGTTAGCTCTCGCTTGCCATGGCGAAACATCACTATTGCAGGGTGCCCAGAATCTGTGGCAAAACCATCCTAAATCATAATAACAATTACATCGTTCAGGACAACGACCAGCAACTGCAGGAAGGTTTTATTTATCATGTGTACAGTCACTGGGAACCATGCAGTTTGGAGAGCTTCTGTCCCCACCCGGCGTGTAAACAGCAGCGGACCCGGAAACAGGAGCATCGTGGAGTGCGACTGTTGCAGACCCACTGTGAACGACTTTAGTTTCGAGCTCTGCTGAAGGTTTGGTTTCCAGCATGGATAATACAACAGACGGGACGTGGGACAGATTACCAGTTAAACTCAACGAGAAGATTTTGCAAACGCTCGATGAACTGAAATTCACACACATGACACCTGTACAGGTCAGTGAACACTTTCAGCCCGTGGCTCACACCTCTCCTCAGTAAACACTAAATCTGATCTGTTGGAATTTTCCCTTCTAGTCTGCCTGTATCCCGCTGTTCATGAGTAACAAGGATGTGGCTGCCGAGGCGGTAAGTGCGCCATTTAACCATTAAAAATAAAGATCACTGAATTTTATTATTGCAGATGTTTCAGAGTTATGGTAAACATCCTCCCATCCACCCACACATCCAGCCAGCCAGCCAGCCAGCCATTCAGTGTCACGGGTGTCTCGGGTGCCTCTCTCAGCTGTCCCAGGGCTGCAGACAGGGTACACACTGGACAGGACACCAGTGTGTTCCAGGGCTGACAAGCGTGATGACCATCCATGTGCACAGTATACATTATACCGATTAACCACCACTGCAAGTACTGACATTTGAATTTAACTGGACAGGAAAAATTGTCTTGACAGGGTCATTCCATATAAAATCCACCCAATCTGGAAAAGTGGACCCCCAGACATATCCGCTGGTTGTTGTATTTTCAATGTATGTTATAATAAATCATGCTATTTTACCTTAAAAATGTGAACTTTTTAAAAAACCTAATTTATCATTAACAATTTTAAATATGGGTTTTTGATGCTGCCTGAAAGTAAACGCAGAAATAAGCTTCCGGAATCTCAGAGCTGATGTAACCACCTCAACCTGACACCCCAGTCTGCCGCAAGGTTATCTGCTCAGCACACGTGTAGAGAGTGGTTGTCCTGTGAGTTATCGCAGCAGCTTCTTGTAGCTCACTGAGTGTCATTTGATTGCAGGTGACTGGGAGTGGAAAGACGCTGGCTTTTGTCATTCCTATTATAGAACTCCTCCTGAAGCGGGAAGAGAAGCTAAAGAAGATGCAGGTAAGATTGAAAGTGAAGCAAAGATGGCATTTAATCCCAGTTTAAAAATAAATAGGATGACTAGCAGTGTATGAAGTAATTAAAATTAGCTTTTGTTCTTTTTTTTGTGATATTGTTATAGAGTTTAATACCTCCTTGATCCTGAACAGCTGAACTCTGAGTTATGATAATTCTTGATATTTTACAAATAATCTGTGAAATATACAAAGCCTCAACAATATGATTTGGACACTTTGTTAAGCCCCAAATAATCTCTTCTGCAGGTTGGTGCCCTTGTGATCACTCCCACAAGAGAACTGGCCGTACAGATCAGTGAAGTGATGGAGCAGTTTATTGAGAAGTTTCCACAGTTCAAGTAAGTAGAAGACACAGTCTGAAAGGTGGTTGTATATAATACAAACCCCTTAGTTAATGAGATGAAAAATTCTTAAAACCTATTTAAATGAAGTGTAATGGTTAAAAAGTGTGAAAGTGAACATGTGTGGTTGCACTCCATATGTCAGAAAGAGCAAATAGTGGATGGAAATTTGTGATGTGCTCGTATGGTGAAAAAGTCTGCCTTTAAGAGTGTGGTTAGAAAAGTCCAAAGTTAGTGAGGGTGGCCTCTGCCTCTACAGCTATCCTTGGATAAAACTGGAAACTATTCTAATGGCCGTTAATTCATTATTGATATATACTGAGGTGTCAGAGGTTGTCAAATGTCATCATCATCATAATCTAAGAATGTTTTAGATTAATGTAGAAATTATCCTAGTATATAATACTGGCTTTAATAAATACCTGGCATTATATAGCAGACAGGAAAAGACCATGGCGATGTGCACATTTACATATGTGACACAGTTACTGTGGTACTGTCACAGTTACTGAAAGAAATATAAAACTGATGAATGTGTGCAGACAGAGTATATACAATGTGTAATAGTCGAATGAGGTAAAGTTGCCACTCTGCTCCTTAAACAAATAGCAGTGCATCACTGATCATGTTATTAATGTGAGCCTATGTCACCCACAAAATACAAGTAAAGCCCCTTGAAAAACATAATTATTATTTTAACGGAACTGTGACTGAAATAGTAACCAGTTGTATAAACCTCTACTTCATTAATGATCAGAGAAGTCTTTCATGTTTTCCCACTTGGTGTTTTTCAGGCAGATTTTACTTATCGGTGGCAGTAACCCAGCAGAGGATGTGGAGAAGTTCAAGGATAAAGGGTATGCGATGATCTGAGGGCCTTTCCACCAACACACAACTAGCACAGTTTTTCAGCTGGACTGAAATATATCCATTATAAGCATATAACTTGTTCTGTTAAGAAGTAAAAATTGGGCTGTGTTAATGAAATTAGTTTTTCTGAATGGTTCTTCATATCAATGGACCCAGGAGTATTATATCAAAAACTCCTGTGCTATCCATCACATAATCCTATTAAAAACATCCAAACCTCTTGAATTTGTGCATCTGTGTCTCAGAGCAAACATTGTGATTGCGACACCGGGACGCCTCGAAGATATGTTCAGGAGAAAGTCTGATGGTCTGGACTTGGCCAGCTCAGTTAAAAGCCTGGATGTGCTGGTTCTAGATGAGGCCGACAGACTGCTTGACATGGGATTTGAGGCTAGGTATGGAAAAACTCTTAACATTTATTGTTTTCAACGCCAGAAGAAATTATCCTGAGGCCTATAGCATCTCTTCAGAAAGCTACACAAATGCATATGAAACATGGAGCCCACAAAATGAATAGAATTTCACTTGATGGATAGAATTTCACTTGATGGATAGAATTTCACTTGATGGATAGAATTTCACTTGATGGATAGAATTTCACTTGCCAAAATAGTCAAAAGGACTTGTCTTTTTAATGCTTTAAAGTTGGACATTTTAACATGTGAGTCTATGGGAATTGACTCAGTTTTGAAAAAAGGTTTAGTGACTGTTAGAGGAACTGCAGTTTTTTGTGCGTCACTGCTGGTGAAGTCTAATGTTAAAGCACAGAGCACGACAATAAGAACTATCCAAATACTTTGTGTGTTTGAATTTTGTAGTGCGTTTTAACTCGTTATAGGTAATAGTCTGTATTTGTGTATCCAGTCTAAACACCATCTTAGGTTACCTGCCTAAGCAGAGACGTACAGGCTTGTTTTCAGCCACTCAGACCCAGGAGCTGGAGAAGCTAGTGAGGGCTGGCCTCCGCAACCCCGTACGGATCACCGTCAAAGAGAAAGGCCTGGCCCCTGCTGCCACCGCCCAGAAAACTCCTTCCAGGCTGTCCAACTACTACACTGTGAGACAATTATTTATTCAATAATGTAGAAAAGTGTAGCAATGACACAAAAAAAATCTCATGCTTTTATTTCAGATTTGTAGAGCAGAGGACAAGTTCAACAACCTGGTGGCTTTCCTGAGGCAGCACAAGCATGAGAAGCTTCTGGTCTTCTTTAGGTAAGTTAAAGTGGTACACAAAAAAACTTGGTAGCTTTCAACTTTGCCTGTGTGTTGTGCGAACCACTGCACTGCAAACTCATTGTCATGACAACAGTTTCTTTTATTGGAAAATGTTTTTCTCCGTGACATGTCCGATTAGGTCTGTTATGACATGATTCCTTGTCATCTCGTCTTCAGTACCTGTGCTTGTGTGGAGTATTACGGTCGAGCTCTAGAGACGTTGGTCAAGAAGGTCACCATCCACTGCATCCACGGCAAGATGAAACATAAACGCAACAGTATCTTTGCTGACTTTCGGAAACTAAAAAGGTAAAATTCAGTTTGTGTGTACAGGTACAGAAAATATGGCTGTTTTGGGGGGGATTTGTACATCATTTTTTGCTTGTGTGTCATGCAGTGGGATCTTAGTGTGCACAGACGTGATGGCCAGAGGCATCGATATCCCTGATGTTAACTGGGTGCTGCAGTATGATCCTCCCAGCAGTGCCAGGTGACTCAGTACTAACTACATAACTGGATCTTTTACTCACTGTATGCACCTCTTGCTTTTGCATTTTATTAATTTAATTATTTATTTGGTCTGACTCAGTGCCTTTGTACATCGATGTGGGCGAACAGCAAGAATCGGTAATTATGGCAATGCTCTCGTCTTCCTGCTTCCAATGGAGGAAACCTATGTTAACTTCCTGTCCATCAATCAGAAGGTGAGTTCAGCAGAAGTGATCAGTAACTTTTCACACCACCTCTCTGCTCTGGTTGCTCCTAACCGAGAGTCTGTGCTATGAAGCAAGTTCAGCATACTTGAGACCTCTTTAATTGTATGGTTCACTTACTCAGAACATCAGCAGTCAGGTTAGGTGATCACATGATCACGAGGACTATGGAAGTAAACAACCTCAGTATCACAGCTCCTTCATTGGATTACTGTTGCATATTTGTAATTTGTTCAGTTGTAAAAAGCAATGTGTTTTTTAAATGAAGGTCTTTAACCAACATTTAAGAAAATGTAAGCCCCCTTTCACCTGCATTCTCAGTAGTGTTAAATGATCTGTAGGCAAGTAATGTCCCACACCAGTAAAATCCAACACAAGTACAAGGTTTAAGTGTACTAGGATTATATTTATATGAAAGCTCAGAATTATTTTTAAAATTGCTTGCAACCAAAAGGGGGGAAAACAGAAATAAATTTGCTGTTGATAATATTTACCACATGATTTCTAAAAGTACACATTTTTGCATGTTTTGGTTTCTGTCAGCTGGTCCCTCACGATATTGTCCCCCAAAAACACTTCCATTGTGTTTTGTGATTTCTTTTTTTCTGCTTCCATTGTGTTTTATTCAACTTCTATTGTTTTGTGTTTTTGAAGAGTGTGTTTTATATATCATGGTCACTGTACAACATAGATATGAGTTCGAGAAGTTTTGACTTTTAATATCCAATTTTTATTTTTCTTATAAACTCAAATTCAACTGTAGTCAAGCTTACTTTTTTTTAATTTCAAGTAATAATTTCCATCAAATTGCAAAGGAAATTCTTGGAAATATTTTTTTCCATTCACAGCTAAATTCTTCCGAAAATTATAATGTGCACAATATGGAACCTGCAAAATCTCATCTTGTTCATCTACTCCCCAGTGTCCACTCCAGAAGATGTCCCCAATAAAAGACGTGGTGGATGTTCTGCCAAAAGTGAAGGCCATGGCTCTGGAGGACCGGGCCATGTTCGAAAGAGGGACGAAAGCATTTGTCTCATACGTCCAGGCCTACGCCAAACATGAATGTAGCCTCATCTTCAGGACCAAAGGTTAAAAAAAAAAAACAAAAAACAAAACAGCAAGCACACATGTAGAGCATCCTAAATATTATTCAAATACAAATTTGTTGTATCCACAAACAGATAAATGTAATGTGTCGCATTTCCGATGTCTAGATCTGGATTTTGGCTGCTTGGCACGTGGCTTTGCACTTCTTCGCCTGCCCAGGATGCCTGAACTGAGGGACAAAACATTTCCTGATTTCATTGAGACGACAGTGGACACAGACACCATCCGTTACAAAGACAAGAACAGGGAGAAGCAGAGACAGAAAGCACTGGCTGAGCTCAAAGATAAGACTCCCTTTCCTAAAAAGAACTTTATAAAGAATAAGGCCTGGTCTAAACAGAAGGGCAAGAAGGAACGCAGGCAAAAGATGGCAGCCAAGAGAAAGCACAATGAGGTATTTCCATTCATTCATCATTAATGGTTAATTAAAAACATCTGATGACTACAGTTTTAACTTTTGTGTTTTTGCAGGATTCTGATGTGGATGATGAAGACCTGAAAGAGCTTTTAGATGACACTCGTCTCCTCAAGAAACTAAAGAAAGGCCAAATCAGTGAGGAGGACTTTGAGCAACAGATAACAAGTGGAGCAAAGTCGAAACACAAAACAGAAGAACCGTAACAGTTTGGAAGAAGACAATGGACAATATAACAGCTTTTCAGATGTATCCACCAGAGTTGAATTAAATCTCTGACACACATTTCGTTTTTGTTGGTAGTTTTTATTGGAGAATTGTGAAGCAGTTATAAATAAAGTTTGAT